GTGCTGTTCTCAGACTGACCGATGGTCAACGTGTCGAGAGAGCGCATTCCTCTGTAAGCCGCGTGCGAGTCTGCTCGAATTTCGGTCGAGATCGCTCAAATATCCAATAAACAGTGGCCCGTCAGATTCCCCCTGTCCGGCGTTATCGAAATTAATCATCGATCCATGCGTTCTGCGGTCATTTTTCGGGTAATTATTATTCGGAAATATCTCTCGGTCAGAGTTTCCCCCGATCCGCGTCGTTCCGTTTTTTTTGTATGACTTTGGATAAACAAGTTTGTTCGGCAACTAAGTTCCCCGGCTCCCTCACCTCCTCCCGTGGGGGGTGGCTGTCCGACAGCTACGTAGGTTGACTGGGTCGGTATTCATCTAAATCCGAACAAATTGTGTAAGAGAGCTGGCAGTCCATTAAAATGTCTTCGAAGTTCAAAGTCTCTGAAGCGCTCTGAAAGTTGTTCAGACGTGCCCCGGACGGCTTGTAAGCGACTGAACAAAAAACACATCCATATGTAAATTCGATGCGCTGGTCAGTGAAGTCTTTAATTAGTCAGATTCATCTTCTTCACCCGCATCGGATGTGGGGGGGTCGGACGCAGAGAGGCTTGACTCGACGCTCGGCGAACTACATATATTGTGTTTGGTCGTAGCCCGGAATGCACTTCTGTCAGATTCGAGCAGTGAACTAATAAGAAAAGAGGGGTATGTCTCGAGTTCGAGTGGAATTCTATCACTGAACGTGGAGACTTAGCAGGAAGAACCGACCACGGCGAAGTATGAGAAAGACGTACAAGTACAGCACAAAGCGCTCGAGTGAAAGGGCACGGCTCCGGTTGCTGAGCCATTGGCTCGGCGTCGATTTCAAGGAAACTTTTTGTCGTCATCTGAGCCCGGCGGCTTTCGTTTCCGATGCTCCCCGTACCCTTTGGGCGGATGGATCGCAGTTGTTCGAGGCAAAAAGTTGAATTTTTTCATTCTCTCTCTCGCTGAAAGTGGATCTCTTTGTCCGGTGGGGCACGAACGATCCCATCCCTAATTCGGGATTACAGCTAATTGAAGCAACCTGTGTCCATCTGACTTAGCTGAGTTCTCTCAAAAAATATATCCCACCCTAACTTCAGAAGGCCTGACCGACGGGCCGGTCGGTCGGTCGGTCCGTCCGTCGGCCCTGCCATAGCCAACAGACCCCTTCACTCGTTTGCGAGGTCTGAGCTCAGTGTCCATAATACACTATTATCGGCTCCGTGTCCGCGTTGTGATCCGGTCGCTCGGTCGTTTGCCTTTCTTATTTCTCCTGTTCCGAAGGCCTGTTTTACATTCTCTAGGAGAAGGAGCAGTAGCGGCAGCAGGTTAATATGATGACACATCTCAGCGCCGACCGATATGTTTCAGCATTTTGACAAAGTCCGCACAAAAAATCTCTGATGGGCTCGGGAGCTCCTCTGCCGGGAGAAGACCACCAGCTACCATTTGGTTCGATTATTTAAGCGAGAGAGGCTGGGAGCCTGAGATTCGAATGCTTCGGAAATGAAGACTCGCCGAATCCCGAGACTGGTCACCAGAGCCGGAATCCGCTCCCCCGAATCGAGCCAATCTTCCAAGCTTGAGGACGATTGAAGATCCATACACTGATCTATCCACTCCAATGGACCCCGTCATTACGCCTCGGGGGTGGCCTGGTCCGATAAGTTCTTATTGTCGTCTGGTTTCGTCAGCATGGGTCAGCGGGTTTTGACTAGCTTATGACCTTGGTCATAATATCTAGTTAGCAGTAGTGATGTGCGACCGACACACGCAAAAGCTGTCATCGCGAAACCGAGCAAGCAAAACACGTCAGCTCCAAAGGGACGAGTGACCGACCAAGCAAGCACGGAAGCAAACGATACACTGATGATAAGGTTCCCAGGGTCTGGCTTTACAGCCTTCCGATCTGAATGACCCCATGCAATTTGTCGTGCAGGCCTTTGCCGCCACCGCTGCCGCTACTTCCACTACCACTCGAAGGCTAATAAAATGTGCTCAATGACTTCGACGGTGCGACCCGTTACATTGTACTCAAGGAGTGAGAGTGAACGGCTGTAAATACAATAGTAGTAGAAAAATCGGCTCCTGAGTGATACAGAAGGCAACGAGTACGAGCCGTGGCCATTGAGAAGGAGCTAGGAGAACTGACTGAGTGAGACCAAGTGATTCCCCCATTTGTGGGAAGCTCATTTTTCTCCCGGTTGCGGGCTATTCAATTGTGAAAATCGCGCTCATTCCGTGCATTCATCGTCAGTCGCAGAGACCCTACGATATCAGGCGCCCGGCGCGAACTCGAACCTCAGAGTATTCCGCACTGCGGGAAATCTTTCGACTGTTTCCTCGCTGCACGGAGAATCCCATACCTGCTAGTAGTCATCATCTGCTTGTTTGTACTGAGAGGAGCTTCCTTTTCTCTCGCTCCGCAATTCCTCGATAGTTTATTTCTTGACACGAAGCGTTCCATCAGTGTGTTTTCCCAGCTACTTGAGTGCATTCAAGTATCGTCGGTAGTCAAGTTTGTTAGCGAACAAAATTGGCCTCGCTCTCGAGTACGCGTCCGGAGAACTGAGACTTCTCCTCATTCGATTACGAGTGGTCTTTCGAGACGCAAAGCCAAACTAAGTTTTCCCAGAAACAAAATTTTGAACCCAGAGAGCTCGGGTACCCTTAAGCCACGCATATGTTGGAGCGGTCCTATAGCGGCGATCGGTCCCACAGACAGATCAATGAATCCTACGCGGTTTCGATACTTTTCAGTCTGTAAGATTCGAAAACGTACCTCTTCCACAGTTTCTAACCTGTAAACGAACGTGCATCCCACTGAATCCCACGCTACTTGCGACGCCTCAGCTGTGATCAGCTGATTCTCACGGCTGGGAATTCCACTGGGTATTGTACTTGACTCGCTTGACTGTCGTTTGTCGGTGGGGAGGTGTGAATAGGAGGGGAGACGGGGGTGGTCTCGCTTTTTTTCTCGCTCGCGCGCTCACGGGTCGGCCGCTCGATGCAATGGATCTCACACTCGGTGTCCCTCAAGGGTATGAGTTCCGGTGTGACTTTATCGAGATTTGATGCGCATCCCAGACTCCCAGACAGCATCGGATATGCCCTCGAAACAGTCGTTCAGCTGGTGTCGCCTACTTAATAGAAAAATTTCAGAGGGCGGAACACGGTAGCGAATCACTCACAATGAGAGCAATCATCGAGACTCTTCTTCCCTCTGGAGCATGCCTTCGTCTCGGCGAAATTCTCTCACCAGAGATGGCCCATTAGAGAGACAACATGTTTTTGTTGAGGATTAGAAAAAATCCTCATGGACCTAGATCGAGAAATCATTTTCGACCCTTTCCGTGAACGATAACCACAAGGCAATCGCCGATTTATCTTGCGGTGGACTCCCTTGGGCTTCGCTGCATCTCTCCGATAAGATATGTACGAAGTATATTTTACGGAGCAATTATCATTGGATTCGCTTGATATCTTCTGCGTCCAGAAATACGATAAATCGCGCTCAAATTGCGTCTGATCCGCGAGAGTCAGCACAGGAGATTTTCGGGAACAATGGAGCCCATCGAACTGCATACCTTCATCGAGATATGAGCTCACAGCAAACATCGAAGCAATTGAGGAATCAATCGAGTCCCCAGAGCTAGTTTATTTTGAAGCCCCCTATGTTTGTCATCGATTGTCCTCCGAGGTTTCCAAGGTGGCGCATATAGTCATCGAAGCCAGTCGAAGCGAGCTGCCGCCATCGCCAACGCCACTGAGTAAAGGACCAATTGAATCTAAGGTCGAATCGTAGCGTTCGTTCTCACGTTGTAGTGCACGCAACCCTCAGTCGCTCAGATGCTGCCATCGCTACCATTACTCCTGTGGCTGATACTGGCGCTGCACACAAGCTTCGAGAACTACGACAACAACAATCTCCGCCCTCTGAAGTCTCAATGGTCCGTGTGAACCTCTCATCGATCGGCTTGTAATTGACCGCGATGAACTAAGATTGGAGAACAATAGTGACACCGGGTGACGTCGCTTGAAACACGGGAATGAAATTTTTGTCCCTGGCAGACAGTCGTGTAGCGCTCGTGGGGTATTTCTCTTTTCTAGCTGGCGGAAAGCGCATCGAGTGCATGCGCTCAGTTGATGTCCTCTGCTACTCACGCCGTCTCGATCACTTGATCCCAACAGACTCTGATAATGAGAGCTTTCATGAACATCTCGAGAGAGGAATGAGCGAACGTGACTCGGAGCCGTCATTCCAAATTGACGAGAAAAATGAAAGATTCGCAAGGAAGAAGTGATTTCGGCGATCCGAGATCGTATCGCTCCATAGAATCGACCAGGTCGCCTGGCGGGATTACGTTTGACAGCTCCGATCCGCAGAAGCTTCATTCTGTTGTTCTTCTCGCCTCTGAAAAGTACGTCTTCACAAAATCTTGAAGGAGGCCCCTCTTAGCAGGTTTCCCTCTCCGAAGTCTTCGGCGCATTTCACGTGCAGCTCTGAAATAGCTCTCGGTGATTCTCGTTCAGTGCAGGCGTGATTCCTCTTCATCGGGTTCAAATCGCGATATCGCTTCGATACGGGAAGAGTCGCAGACAGTGTTCCGAGTACATCTCTTATCACTTGAGATGGCGCTCCATCATTGTAGAATTTAAACCGTGTCGGCTCCAGAGCTTAGCCGTGTTCGTAGGTGCTGGTGAGGAGGACTGTATTCATTCGTCAATACTCCGGTAAGAGGAACCGTGTTCGCGCTGCCGATCGCGCTAGAGGAGACAGAGTGACAGACTCTCTATGATTGGGTGCTGTCCAAGTATCTCTTTTGAATGTAGCGGTCGAGGTCTGAGGTCGCTTCGATCTTTAGCCCGTGAGACAGAGTGCAACGCCTTGCGGTCTCTCATCAGTCGTTGTGCCAGCGCGCAGAGCCGCGTAAACCACGTGTGCAGGAGATCGAGTCGCTTGAATAGTTCTTCTCACTATCAGTGTCGCCCGCGTTGTCAGCGTCTTGATCCGGCTGTGAGTTTCGTTTCGTGGAGGAGACAGGTCTCAATTTAGACTGTCTGTGCGGTTTGTTTCGGCTGAGCCTGCGAATCACGGGAAGCTCCCTTCTGGTCAGGTTGGGTTTTTCCCTGTATAATTTCCTGTATTCCACCAGCAGAAACAAACCAGAGCTCTTTCACTTTAGTGGGCGAGAGAACCTCGTAGAATCGAACAGGGGAAAAAGGCGTTTCGAATCAAAATTCCGTAGACTCCGTCAACAGCATCGATAACAGATCGCATACGAGTCTTTCGGGGAATTGATAACAATTATCCCGTGATATAGAAGGGATCTCTTACTCTCCAAAATGTGCAGCCGAAAATAGTCTGCAAATCCCTGGTGCAAAGTTTCGTTGTGGGTAGGATCCGCGCGGAGCACGTTGCTTGCAGGAAAAAAATCGGAGCACACAAAGCAGCTTGAGAACTCGAGACTTGAGAATTCAGAAGGAAGAGGTCGCTTCAAAGATGCCAGACTTGACGTCTACCCCTAGAACTTTTGTGTCGAGCGAGTGGGTCTTGACCCTCTGAGAAAATTTGGACGGAGGCGAAAAGTAGTGCGATCTCGAGCGGCGGTCTGGAGCGTCGAAGGACCGCAAGCGAAATAATCATAAAAATAATTCGATCGAATCCCGAACTCAGACCTCTGTGGATCATTGAATTTCCAAAAGCAATCGCACACAATTTTTCACGTAGATTCTTCTCTATCCTTCTAGGCATGCCTTCTCGGTAACCCGAGGCGGATTTTGAGGTGATCTGTACTCTATTCGAAATAGTTCGGAGCTTCGATCCGGCCACTCGGCAAGATGCGAGCGGCTGCGCCCGCCGTGATTCTCTTCTTGGTTCTGGTGACCGCCCAGGCCGCAAACTATAGGTGAGGTCGTCCTCCTGGAAACTCTTTCGCGCTTTAGGCTCATGGGACAACTGACAATGAGAGAGACAGCGATTCCCAATAATACCCTTCTTCGCCTCCATCATTCCTCATCGAAGAAATCCTGTTCCTGGAGACTTTGCCTGAGGACTCCGTCAGAAAGCTGTATTGATGCGGAGAATATTTCAGGCGTTTCGTAGACTACATGATAAGAGGAACCGACGTAGAAGGTTTCTGTGAGCAGTGCGAATCCGTCCTCCAATTGCTCAAAAATGATCCCCAAGGCACTCTCGATAGCGCGCTGAACGCATGCAAGCAGACACAGTACTTCACTCCTCGCATCTGCGATGAAGAGCACCGCATGTACGCCGGTAAGTATCATGTCCACGCCTACCCGATCGATAGGTACTGTCCGGATGAATTCGAAGCGTCGCGTCGGCAGGGTGCTCGGATCCGGCGGAGCAATTTCCCCCTATGGCTTACAATGATGAGGGTGCGAGAGTTCTGCAACTCTAGGATCCGTTCTCTTGACAGGCTCCGTCGTGCAAATCATCGAGCAACTGAACACATCTTTCGATCAAGCTTGCAAGTTTTTGAGCAACGGAGCTTGCGGCGCGCCAGACATCGATGCCTATAAGTGGACCGTCCACCTAGATTCTATTCAGGATGATGCCACCTTCCATCCGCAACACTTCCGCCACCTTGAACAGGAGTGGAAGGTGGGTGCCGTCATAATTATTCCGAGCCGTGAAAAATGGAGTGGTCAGCGATCAATTCGAGCTAGGGGACTTCCCGACGACATTTTCCCAAGGTGTATCTACCTGATTCCAGAACACACATCTGTCGATGTTGCACATCACGGATACCCATTTCGACGAAGACTATGAGGTGGGAGCGGCCGCCGATTGCAACGAACCGATCTGCTGCACAAAATATCAGCCCCAGGCAACGGACCCTGAAAATTTCGCAGCGCCCTGGGGCTACCCCTTCGGTTTGTGACTACTTGACTTTCTTTTCTGCTACCTTGTTTTCTTTCGTCCACTTTTGATCTTACCATCTTGGTAGTCCCTCTCAACTGCTCCTCCTCCTCATTTTCTTCCTTCGCTACAGGGAAAGCTTGCAACGTTCCTTTTCGTACCGTGGAGAACATGCTCCAGGACATCGATAGGAGCCGACACGTCAGCTTCGGCATTTGGACCGGCGACATCAGTCCTCACGCCTATATCAACATGACGGACGAAAGGGCTAGACGAGACATCCAAGAGACAACTGCTGTAATCAAGCGCTATCTCGGTCAGGCCAAGATCTATCCCGCCATCGGCAATCATGACGCTTTTCCCGGACGGTGAGTACCCGGACATTCGAATCCGGGCGCGGTGTCAAACTTGGCTTGTTATTCGCTTGGATTCCGAGGCATATAGTAGTAGCTCATGTCAGGCGATGTCAACAGGCTCTTCCCTCAACCTGGAGTGAACGCCGCAGAGTATTCGGTGAAACCACTGTACGAAGAGATGTGGAACCTGTGGTACGAATGGCTGCCAGCCGACCAAGAGCGAATCTTCAAGTACGGTGGATATTACACCGCCAAGGTTCATGATCGGCTCCGTATAATCGCATTGAACACGAACTTCTGCTACACATGTGAGTCCGACTTCTGGATGACTCTTGCGATGGATGCTAAGTAAGATCGTTCCTAACGCTCGAAACCGCTCCTCAGACAACTGGTGGTTAGTCCTGGGCGCAAATGACCCAGCCAGACAGCTGCAGTGGATGATAACTACGCTGGAAGAGGCTCGCCGTTACCGGGAGCGAGTCTTCATAATCGGTCATATCCCGCCCGGCTCGAGCGCGTGTAACAGCTATTGGGAAGAGGCCTACTTCAAAATCGTGACGAAATTCCAACACACTATCACAGGACAGTTTTTCGCGCATATGCACACGGACGAGGTGATCCTCGATTACAGCGATCCCATGGACAAGGAGAAGCCCACTTCGGTACGTTCGAACGTTCTCCAGTCATTCACGCACTAGGGAAACCTTTCATGATGAGTTTCAAGCGCAGAATGAAGTCGTCTCTTACGGCCTAATGAAAATGGCCCCGCAGAATGGATCTAAAACAACTGAATTTCAGGTTTTGTACGTGACCCCAGCCGTGACAACTTCCTGGAGTGGCATGCCAGAGTACAGGATCTATCAGACTGAACTCGGTGAGGTGGTCGACATCGAGACTTATTTCCTCAACTTGACAACCGCCAACGCCGGCTATTTCAAGATACGCGAGAGCGTTCACGAGAAGGTCCGGGAGGATTTTAAAGATATGAGCCCGTTCCGACGACGTGCAATGGAGAAAGTACTCTATGGAGTGCCCCATTGGGAACTAGGCTACTCCGCGCGCAAGTCCTACGGTTTGAAGAAGTTCGACGCTGCTCACTGGCATCAATTGATCAAAGCGTTCGATACAGACGACAATCTGCTGCAGACATTCTACAAACACTACCGACAATTCAGGTGGGTGGACAAGTTGGGGAGAACTTTTCAATTCCTTTCGAATTTCGTTTCTTGGAATGATGTTTTCCGTCCGTGTTCCCAGGGAAAATGTCGTGAGACTCGAGAAACCCTGCGATGAGGCTTGTAAGAAGAAACTGATCGCGAATATGACCAGCAAGCGCTCGACCCGAGCTCGGGAACTGCAGCGCTAAATCTCTTTTCGAGCCGAGAACAGAATACGACCACGAGGGAACCAAAACCGCGATTCCCGCGGAAGAGAGAAAGCGACAGCATCATCGAAAAGACAACACAAGAGTCGAAACCGAAATTTCGACGCGGATCCATGAACAAGAATACTTACAAAAACTCTATCTTGGATTCCTATGAATAAAATTTATTACCTTATCGAAGGACCTGGTCTTCTTTCCTCCTTTCCCCCGGCGCACAGGGGAATCCCTCTTGTCATCCTCCAGGCCCACAGCGAAGCTGGGTCTTCTGTCGATCAAAAGCCTGCCGTCAGCCCTGGGCAGGTAGCAGGGAGATTGCATCGGATCCTAATAGGTTTCGTGGACTATCTCCGAAATCGTCTACAAATCTTTTTGTCTATCGCTTTTGTCCCTGGCCGGAGCTCTCCAATTCGAACGCGGCTCAGCGGCAGCAGCTTCGAAATCCCTGTGACATATCAAAAAGTCTCAGAATCAATACCCACTCGGGCACTTCTCGCAGGAGCATGAGACGAAATCGTTCTTCGACGAACGAACTCCGCGACCAGCTCGCTCCTCCTCCGATTGCCGAGGTGCGGGACGGACAGAGACCCTTCCGAACAACTCGGTCGGATACTCGGGACTGTCAAGAGGAGCAGGGCTCATCCTAATTGTGTGCTGCGTCCATCTTTGTCCGCTTCGGCTTGTCATCGACTGCTGACTGGACATCCATCTATCTCTTTGTTTTTCCCCTGGGTGTTCACTCTGAAAGGAATTCGAAGGAGGCCCATAGTGTCGTTGTTGAACAACTCTTCTCCGTCATTATCATTCTGAAAAGCTTTTTCTCTTGTTCTTCGTTTGCTGGTCGTGTTGCGCGGCCGACTCCGACTGAGCGTTCTCAAGTGCCGAGGGGCAAGACGGGCGTTTTTGAATCGAGTCGCGTGCCAATGCAAGCGTCATTCGTGTTCGTCCCGCCGCTGATACCTCGGCACTCGGCTGTGCGCCTCGATGCGGCAGAGTCGATCCGGAAGAATCAGCAACGAATTCGGTGGCGGCATACCAAGGAGGTGGCCATTACATAAATACTTGCGCTCGCGCGCGAGCGAAGGAATCAATGAAGTGTAAGCGAACTAAGTCACAGCAGAGAATAGAGATCGCCGCCAACCCCGCGTGTAACTTACGGTAATGGGGTTACACCACCCGGGATGATTCGGGTCCCCGACTTCCATATATGTATGTGTGTGAGTGTCTGTGTATATTTGTAGGTTTCTGAATGTATGGGTTCATGCATCGCTCGCTCGCTCGCCCACTCATTCACTCACCCACTCTGTGTATATCAGCGTGTTTGTAGGTATGAGCCAGTGGCATCCGACGCGAAAAAGCATCCTGGGTGTCAAGACTCATTCAGGATGAATCGACACGAGTCCCTCGCAGCACCAAACGACTCGGTGCGAGGCCTGCAGCAGATCGAGCGGCAATGACTCCCGCGCTTGTTCCTGATTCAGGACTCGGACCGCATTCCAGCTTCCTGAATCCTCATTTCACCGCGGAGTGTATACATAAAAATGCAGGGTCTCTGCCGACATAACAATGTACTGTGGCTTCTCAATCACGGATTTTCCGTCAGTGAGTAGGGTCGAGCAAACTCTGTTCCGCGGACCCTGTCCCGTCTAGCGCATACCTCGAATTTTCTTGTGGCTCCTCTAGATGAATGCGAGTCGTAAAGAGGAGTCCTAATCTCCCGAGTGATACTGAGATCTGACGGGAATATTAGCGAGGCAAGACGATACACTCGGGTCGGATTCATATTGAGGGAGGGTTTTGTTGAAATTCAGATGTGCCCGGTCGGCGGGTGAGGCGGGTCAAATCGTTTCACGAGTTTGGGGTTGATGTACGACGATATGAAACCCACTTACGAAACATGTCCTGGATTCTGCAAATCCTTTGTGACCCCGGATGCTTTTAACTTGTCAAAGAGCCCTCTACCCTATTCTAATCGAATAGTAGCGACATTTTTTCTTCACATCCCCTCGCGGTTAGCAACTGGCTTCTCTCCTCCTACGCTTCTTCCTGTCTCGCGTCTCGCCGACCCGAATCGAGGATGGAAGTAGCGCGGCAAGAATTTAATTTTATGCAGGGGTTCGGAATCGCTTTGCTGTTCAATGAGTTACTCTAATAAATCTAATTGAGTTGCAACGCTTTATTAAGAGGCGGAATCGCTCCGCTTCGCTTTGGGGACGCGGGCCGGTCGTCCGACCGACCGGCAGTCATCGCCGGAGCCTCCGCAGGGCTCGTCGATGCCCTCTTCGGCATGGGAGAGCTCAAATCATTCCCATTTTCCCTCGAACTCTGAACACTGGTCCTCGTTCCTCTTACGCCGAATATGATATAGAGGTTGGATCGGGGAGCTGGGACCCTCGAGCAATCCCCTAGCCTCCTCCATCGACCGAACTTCTAGGTGACGGGTAAAACCACCTCCCTCCTCCTTTTCCGGGCAGGGAGAAGAGAGGTGGTTGGAAGACTACGATTGCATGGACGGAACCGCATCTACAGAGTTCTAGGGAAAGAAGATGAAGACAAATATGCAGTCGAAACCTCTTGGGAGTATCGTGGATCAGATAGATCGGCAGATGAGAGACCCTTGTGGATGACCTCCGTGCATGGGGTTCCCAGTAAAAAGATTCTCGGGAAGGTTTCTGACAACCGCTTTGACACGCAGACTCAAACGCAGGAGATGAGCCTTGGAAGTATAGGGAAGAAGCAGACTTTCTCGAGAGATACCCTGACGTCAGATATCTTATCTCGTCGCGGCTCGGAGCCCGTCTCGGAACATACAGTCTCTCTGAAGCCTTATCATGATCTGTGATAACTTACCACATATCATCATCGGACCGCGATGCCCTTAACCTTAATGAATTCTCCACCGACAAACAATGATTTTCAGAATTTGCTCCCTTCTGTTATATGTAGACCCATCATGCATCTGATATCTCGCAATGATTGCTGAGAATACATAGAAGTATGTATAGAGAGAATGTATAGAAGGCGTCGTCTCTTATTCTTGAAAATCGTGAGTAAAAATTTTATTTCTGTTTTCTCTTCATCTTCTGATGGTTCGAATACACGGCATTTTCACATCGAGATCCTCTCTTGTAGCAAACGACACTCCCGGAAGACTTCACGGAATTCGGAAGTAAGAAGCAATCGTCCATCACAGTCGACGGGCGATTCGGCAACTCCGTACAGGTATTAAGTGTACAATGTGTACAAAGTATACATTGTGTGTATAAGGTTTTTCGTTCAGGCTATCACAGATCATTGACTGGCGCCTCAGGTGTGCGGCGGAGCATTCCAGCTTGTAGATCTACGAATACACCCATTGTACGCCTTTGATCAAAACCATGTACGGGACGACAGCCGTGGCTGCGAGTCCGCTCACCAAGATTGCTACCGTTCGGAAGTCTACTCGAACTGGGCTCGAGTTTTGTTTTTCAAGAGCTTTTTGGTGGAGCCTCATCGCCACGAATTGGTCGCTCAAATCTCGCAGATCGCGTCCTAAGCTCCTGAAGAATTGTAGTTGCCGTTCTCTTTGGAGGAAGATATCATCGTTTCGAGGCACGATGTCGGGGATGTGGACTACGTCATTGTCTGTAAGTGAAGAGTGAATATATTTACTACTTGTTCAGAAATTGCTCTCGGGAGAGATTCATGGAGGAGGGGGAGGGGGGGTGTCGATGTTTGTTCTGTGAGTCTTTTTTCCTTGCGTGCTTGCGCTCGAGAGACAAGGTCTTTCCGTCTCTACTCTCTACCGATCATTCGTTTTTATCGATGTCTCGTTCTTCCCTATCTATTTTCTAATTGAGTGAAGAACTTCGAACCTCTATGTTACATAAACTTCCGTAATCGACTCAGGCTCACAATAGGGCTTGGATGAGTCCTATCTGGTCCTTATGTGAGTTTCCTCTGCCCCCCGAAGAGAGGCGAGAGAATGGCTCCTTGATTTCGCGGAAAGAGGAAAGCGTCTCTCGCGCGTAGAACGCGCCTGCTCAGAGCACACGGAGTGATCCTGAGTCGGCAAAAGACATTGGGCGCGAAGCTCTCGAGACCGACCGTGGGGTCGGAGAGACCAGCGCTCCAAGGACGATGCCCAGACCACGTGGGAATCACAATCTCAACACGGACACTCTTCGGGTCGGACGCCTACATCGCATCAAGCACGCGGAGAATAAGGTTCAGAACCGGCGGAATCTATGATTGGTCGAAACATGGGAAATTCGAGATTTCTCACCTTCATCGGCGACCGGAGGTAGGAGGATGATCTCTTCAAACGCCTCGTTATCACTCGAACTATACTGGTCGTCAGACATTTCAGGTTCGTCAGCAACGTGATATTGGAGGGGTATTTTCACAGTCATTTGAAGTCGGGAAGCTCTATGCTTGGAAGCTCTATTATCCTGGCGAGGTGAAGAACTCAGAATCGAAGCACAGTCACACATTGCTCGAAGCTGCTCTGGTCTCTCGGAGTCCACGTGCACCTCTTAAATAGGACTTCGGAGCGGAGGCGGGCGGTCGCTCACTTCGATGGGGAAAGGGACATCCTAGGCCGCCGCCGCACCAGTAGCACCGCCACATCGACGAGGGGTGGTCCAAGAATCATGGGGTTGTCTGTCAGCCGGTCGGTCGGTCGAGCTCGCCTCTTCGAGCGACCTACCGACCGACGAGTGGTTAAGCGACTCGACTGTTGAACGAGGGACCGCTCGGGGGAGTCGAGCAACGCCGCTCAGCACGGGGGAGTCAAAACGGACGCGAAAGTGGAGCTCCTCGTTCTGCTCAGACGCGGGCGAGACTCGGAGCGACGGCTGGAGGGTCTCACGCAATCAATCGGGGGACCATGTAGTCGCTATTTCTGTAAGAAATGGGGCACAGATTTGCCATCTATCCCCATCGATAGGTTGCGGGATCCCGGATGAATAGGTTGAAATCATGATCGATTTTTTCATCAGCGGATTGATACCCAGCGTCTCACGTCGACGTGTCGAAGCGGAATTCCGCGAAAGAGCGAGCGATATATGGAGTTCAAAATGGAAGGCGCTCATTTTCGACGGATGAAATACCGACATATACCCTGAGAGGGAAATCGTTCAGAATTGAAGTACTCAGTGGACTTGGTCAAATTCTGGGCCGTTCGGTCGTCGATAAAATCGTGC